ACCACCACCTAGGACTGATCCACCTCCACCAACAAGACGTACCCCACCCCAGCCTACGAGACCCACTCCCCCTCCACCTCCCACACGCTACCCTCCTTCAGAAACCACCACCCCGGGAGGACCACCATCGTACGATTACGACGGAGGAACAACCACCACCACAGTGTGACCCTAATCCAACGCCCTGCGTCTGTCCTTCTCCCTCTCCATCGCCTCCACCACCGCAGTCGACTCCACCATATCTGCCACCAGGTCAGAGTTTTCTGGATTATTTAGGAGTTTTTAGGCGATTTTATGCCTCCAAAAATTTTTAGCATTCTCATAGTGATGAATTGCCTGTGTGGTAGTGAGCAACCCTTCCATGGGAAAATAGGAAGGAGAAGTTTCTTAAGGCCGCCCAAAATATGGGCTAAAAGGAATAAGAAATAAGGGGAAAAGCCGAATTTTCAGTGGCTAGGCCTCGCCATTTCTTGTGTAGGTCCAAAGACATGCCAGAAGATGTCACGTTTTTGAATAAAAGTGGATGCATGGCGCATCTAAAAAATTGAGGCTGAATCGCACCAGGCCAATTTGTCCTTTTTATGATCGCTCTACAATCCTTAGCGACATCTTTTCACTTACAAAATCGGTCTTCCCAAAGATTTTCAATATGAATTTGTACGTTAGGAGATCGCAGGGTCAAGGTCTCACAAAGGAGGTGGTCCCGGGCAAGTGGCGCCTCTTTCCTCGTGCACGGCCCGAAGGGTAAAATGTCGAAACGACTCTCGCTCAGGCCAACCAAGCCTTTTATTTCTCCGGGGTCGGTTAATTGGTACCAGACTTGTCTGGGAGAAGAAAACACTGACTTGAACATCGGCTGGCCCCCGCAAGTCATTGTTAGGCCACATCGCATTCAAGAGGCCACAACACTGATTTGAATGGACGTAGAATGCATGGCGCACCCCAAAATGGGACCTCACTGCCAGAACCTTGTTGAGTCTCACGTAACACCTCTATTATCTCCTATCTGTCCCTATCAATCAAGAATTTCTCCGAAAGAGCACCATACATTAATTCAGAGATTTTTATGCTTCTTCTTATAATCTATATGCCTCATTCTACATGATATGGTTCATCCTAAAAAAATCCTTTTAGGAACTCCAGCTACAGTACCGCCCACTCGAAACACCCCTCCAACCCCTCCAGGCACGCCGGCTACACAACCAACGCCCACTCGATACACTCCCTCACCGCCAACCAATCCTCCACCTACCACCACTCGATATGTTCCTCCTACTAATCCGCCAACGCCAACACCAACTCGTTATAGTCCTCCTGGAACAGTTCCACCCACCGGATATTTTTCTTCGCCCAGCACTCCACCCACTAGGTCCGTGCCTGTGACAACACAACCCGGTCAGTACACTTCGTCAGCTCCAGGCGGTTATGTGGCTACCAACGCGGAGATGCAGGTGAGTGCAGCCACCCAATATATTTTCATTCACCATAATCATCATACATCTTCGCACACAGCAGATACACGTCGCACTTTCATTCCAGGAGGCGATTACAAGCTGTTCATCTACGTGTTCCTCCTTGGCTTCCTCTGGGGGAGATCAGGTCAGCACAGATACACTACGGTAAGTACGAAAGTGGTGCTCAGGGGGACGGTCGCATCTGCTCGCGGAACTGATAGCTAATATTCGTTTTTACTGTTATTAGACCCCGTCTCCCTTACTACAAAAACAAACTAGTCGCAGTTTACAGTAACGCAAGGCTAGCGGACAACACGATGCTGTTCGCCACTAGTTCGAGACAAGGACGTCGCATTTAGTCATGTTGGGAGCGAAGTCGCATTTCTGCGGGTTGGAGCAAGATTAGTCATTAAAAAGGGGCGGGGGAATCACTGTGTTTGGACGAGTTGTTCATTTGAGCAATTTTGCGCTTTGAAAGTTTTACGAAAGTACTGTGGGAGAATTAAGCGAATTTGGTGGAACTGCAAGCTTCACGATACTACATAATTTACTCCCCCCCCCGCCCCGCGCCCGGCGGCCGGCGGTTTGGTTGGGAAAGGGGGGCGAGTGGGCTGTATGTTGACTGGGATTCTTCACCATCAGATACAGAAGCACAATACCATATAGAATGTAGGCATGGGTCCCAGCACACAGAACGCAAATACTATAGAAAAGCCATGATGGTGAGGATGGTGGTCGGCGAAAAGATAAGGGGGATCGTATTGGGGGAGCTTCTAGAACTGTGGTGGTGCATGGCTTCCCTAAAGACTGGGGGAGCGGGTTGCAGAATTTTTATTTGGAAAAAGGTGCCAAACGGTGACCCTGATTGGGGGACTTTTGGAAACTGATGTTGGTAATGAGCTCAAGCTAGAGAGCTCGGGGGCGGCGGTCGCCAAAAGTTTTTGGAAGAAGCGCGAATGCGTGACGGGTTGATCCTGCGCAAGAGCATTGATCACTCCGTCGATGCAGTTGTCTGGAGCGCTGAAAAAAGAGGAAACCAAGAAGAATGGTCCCAAATGCGCCTTCGTCTTCCCTGATGCCCTATAGAAGGTTTGGGACCGGCTAGGGACAGCAAATCGTGATTGTAAACCTTCGTGAGGTAATTCGTAAAAACTATAACCATTAGGAACGGTGTCGACAAATAATTAAATTTTTAGCTATTATTTTTTCTCGATTTTCCTAAGTTTTATGCGTGAATATAATAATTTACAAAAAGCATGAAGTTCCTCTACCACAATTGCAACTGTTCAGGAAAATGTCAACTGCTTTGGATGCATGCCAAAGCCTCAGCTATGACCAACCAACGCTGACGACACCACACGCCGGCTATCAGTAGAATGCAAAGAGCGGTAAGAACTTTCAAAGCTACTGTACTGCGATTCTTACGCGACGTTAACCCATTCGCGACCGCGCCGGTTTGCGCATTAGCAGGAGAGTCAGGAGATTTTTCTTCAATAAAATTTGAGTGGATGGAGATTCCCCGTGCCCAAGGCTGGCATAGATGAATGAGGGTATGAAGATTCTTTTCAGGAAAGAAAACTTTCCAAATTCCATTTGAAACACGGCAGCCACCGGTGGATACCATTGTACAAGTGAGATCTTTGTCAGCCACCGGTGGCTGCCATTGTCACGAATGGGTTAAGAAGGACACAGCTCCAAAAATAGGACCCTCTCATTTTGATGGAAACAAGCAAACAAGCCTTACTTCAACTCCGTCTCCAACGGTATATACTCCTTAATAGTGAGTGTCACCATCGTTTGTCATCTACGACCAGGGGAGACCACCGTCACATTTTGGCTCCCAATTCGTCGTAGTCAAGCGCTTGCCGCGATACAGCTTCCACGTCACTACCGTCACCATCATCATTCATGAGCTCGTGAGATTCTGCAAGTAGAAGTCGTACATTCAGAGATTCGGAATGCAGGTTCACATCTGTAGGAATTTCTTCTTTTCCCTAGCGTTAGTCCCGCGCAGTCGCAGGGTCCGCTGAGGTTCACATCTGTAGGAACATGAGATCGGTTTAGGGGCATGAGGTTTACAGGGGGGCGTCACAAAGTGATCATGGCACGGGAAATGCTGCTTGAAATGAATCCTGAACAAAACTTTGC